TATCAGCACCGGCACAGCAGGGGCGACAGCTCATATTACACCTTCTCTCCCACACCCCACAGATATGCAGACACCACACACACACACACACACACACACACACACACACACTCATCCACAGTGTCCGCTACATTTTAATGAGGTTGCGGCATCATGAGAGGACAGTTTTAATATTCATAATGCACAGTTCAGATGTGAAACTTTGAATTTGGCACATACACACAATGGCAGATGACTGTTGAAGAGTCACTCTCTTTTGACAGGCCTGATAAAATATTCGCTAAACTGTAATACAATAATATAATAGTTGATCTCAGTGACAGCTGCATGGGAGAAGGCTGGTATTCCTTGAAATTGAAAATCAACTGCCTCACCATCTCTAAACTTGCATATTAAATAATTCATCAAATATGATCAATATTTAAAAGATAATGCCAGTCCTGTGGTTTTGTCTTGAATAAGAAATAGAATCAAATGCACAGACAACCACAGCGAGCAAGTTTTTTCTGGGTTACTGCTGTTGAGATACACAACTATGTCTTTAGGTTATTAAGTAGTTTGAATAATAATCATATGACACCTCTGTTAATGCAGCTTCTTCTACAGTCACCAGTGGTGCAAATGTAGCAAAGTGCATTTACTCCATAACTATGCTAATGTGTCATTTTGAGGTACCTCCATTCTTCATTCGCTCAGTGTGTCACAGAAGGTCTGTTTCAGCCATCACTACTAACACATTACATCACTATTCTACTGCTAGTTTAACTTGTCTCAGTATTAAATGTTCAATATTACAGTTACTAGTGATACTGATACCTGACTGCCACTACTACTGCTAATATTACTACAGTACTTCCATTGTACCACTACTAATCTCATAGCTATTACACTAATCCTATCATTGCTACCACTACTACACTACAGCCTACTACTTCATTTCCTAATGAGAATGGATCTTGATGCTGTTGTATGCAAGAACAGTAATCACACTTTCTTGACTGAAGTAGAGAAAGCATATGAAGTATTTATGTTATTGTACACAAGGCACTTTGCCTCTTCTTTTTATTCATCTCATCATGTGTTGAAGCTTCTCTTTCCTCCTCCTCCTCGCTCTTCTCTCTCTGTGACTTATCTCATCATGTGTTTAAGCTTCTCTTTCCTCCTCGCTCTTCTCTCTCTGTGACTGCAGGTGACCCAGAGGCCCAGCTCTGGCAAGATGAAGTGTTTCTTTAGACTGAGCTTCGTGCCCCGGGACCCTGTGGAGCTGCTTCGGAGAGACGCTGTGGCATTTGAATACCTCTATGTACAGGTATTGTGGTTATTATAATAACTAAAACCTGAAAATATGATGAAGTAAAATCTTGTACAGAGTGTAAAATTGCTTGTCAGCTTTAGGACATGTATAATATAACACATGGTTTGGTGATGATTTTAAGTGATTAACATAATTACTTAACTTTATTCAGAATTGATCCTTTCAAGACAAAATCTAATTAGAAATAAACTCCTTACATAAACCCAGTCCTATTTCCCTAAAATAATAAATTGCTTCCCCATAGAATTCTTTGATAATTAGTGAAGTGAAATAGCCTGAGAGAAGGGAGGCTAATCATCTTTTCTTGTCAGAGTTCAGGATTTTGTGTTTCCGAGTCCTTCATCTGGGACAGGAAGCTATATCCCTTTGAAGGAATCTCAAGCCACAGAGGTTAAGAACAACTTATTTCTGCTCAGTTGGGATGCTCTGCTGCTCGGATCACTCTATGGAGAGATGATGTGAATTTCAGTGCAAAAACCCGACTATGGGATTCTTACGTAACTTTGCTTTCTGTTTTGCCATAGAGTTGCAACGATGTGGTCCTGGAACGGTTTGGCCTGGAGCTGAAGTACGATGCTGTGCTGCGACTGGCGGCTCTGCAGATGTATATCCTCACCATGACAACCAGACAGAGCCAGAAGGTCTCTCTCAAATACATCCAGTAAGTTTTTTTTTTTTTTTTTTTTAAACAGAGGTTTATGGGGGATATATGAATTCTTTGTTCTTTGTTGAAACCATAGCATTCTGGTCAAGCCATCAAATCACATTTAAAGAAATGTCAACAAGGCCTCCAAACACTGGACCTGATGCAAGTTACACATCACATGAGAGATTTAAGCTTTCATCAATTTTCTTGTGCTGAATTTTTCTTAGGTACGAACTTGATTCATTTATGGTCCCAGTGTAAAGATAGTTCATCTGTGGCCACAAGAGAGAAAACACTTGTTTAGCTTAATTCTGGTGCCTTAATCTGAATGAATGTGGACACTGAATACGAGGCAGGAATAAAATAATTACTTTAATTCAAAATAAATATCCTGATCATGGTTTAGCAGTTTACTGAGGTAGAATTGTTTTTTTTTGTTTGTTTGTTTTTAGATTTTAAGCTTTTGTGGTATATTTCAGCACAGAAAATTACACAATTCAGTAGTTGTAGAAAATGTTCTCACATTTTACAGTTGAGGTCCTGTTGAAGAGACACTTTCACAGAGAAAGTTCTCCTTTTTGAAGTCCATTGTCAGTTCTGCTCCTGACAGCTTGTTCGAGAGTCAGTGCCATTCAGTTATTCACTTTTAATATACTTTTCTGGGTCCGGTAGAAGTGCTCTTTTCTAGGGTGAATTTATGCTGAAATCAATTTCCTCTTAACAGAAAGGAGTGGGGTCTGTCGCTATTCCTGCCTCCCGCCGTGTTGTCCAGCATGAAGGAGAGAAACATCAAAAAGGCTCTGACGCACATCCTCAAAACCAATCAGAACCTTGTGCCTCCAGGGAAAAAAGTAAGCAGCTCTCTTTGTCTTCTTTTGCCCTTGTTAATAAACTTTTGACACACACATATGCTCACAAACACACACTGTCTCGATGTTTTCTGATGCAATATCCTACAATAGCGTCGCTGTTGTGCTCAACCTTGTAATGGTTTTCACCCTTGTCAACCTGAGACCCTTTGTCAAGCCAGACCTTGAATGCTAATGGGAATAGCAAGCAAAATGCATTGTCAAACTGTATGCATAATAAGATTTTCATCTTCACACGCACACACACACACACACACACACGTCCCATTCCGGTGCTGAACCTTTTAGTTTTAGGTGAAACTGTTTCACTTAGACAGTTGGAATACAGGTGTGAGAAATGATATAAAGACTTTCAAGCTAAATTATTAAGTGTAATAAAGTACATTGAAAACTGTAAATACAGTGGGTACGGAAAGTATTCAGACCCCCTTAAATTTTTCACTCTTTGTTATATTGCAGCCATATGCTAAAATCATTTAAGTTCATTTTTTTCCTCATTAATGTACACACAGCACCCCATATTGACAGAAAAACACAGAATTTTTGACATTTTTGCAGATTTATTAAAAAAGAAAAACTGAAAACCAACACTGCACTGCTATAGTTCTAAATGTACTATAGCAATGATGGAGCCATTGGCTGACATTTTAGAATCTTACTGTGGAAATCAGCTTTGGAGATGTTCAGTTGGATGCATGCAGGAAGTAGATATGTTATTTTGTCAGTCAGCACAAGACATGCCTGTGGCAACAACAAATATTCACCCCCAGTCGGTGTATTTTTCTTACTGTCAGCAAATCCCATGAAAGACCATAACCAAGTTTGAATAATACTGTAGCTTATACCTCTGAACTGTTTTTCTCCAGAAAACTGTTTGTCTATATTCTTACTTTAAACTGTAATGCATGTTCAAGGTGTAATCAGTAGTTTTCTGTATTAATAAATGTGCTCACTAGTTTATTATATTTATTATTGCAATATGTGGATGAATCGGATTTGCTCCTTTTATCTATGGAATTGGTAAACGCTACCTTTGAATCCAAGCCAGTAAACATTTGGACAATAAACCAGTGTTAATTACAGCTGAGTCTATCATTATAGTTGGATGCTCATTGTTGGCAAAATAAGGGCGGGCTCCTTTGTGATTAGTTAACAAATTAACACATTTATAGGAGAGACAGGAAATTGAATTACTTATACTGTATAATGTTCTAAAAGTTGCTTACAACATGTGTTGTCTCTGAGAAATGAAGCTAAACGTTTGGGCAACATCACTCATCAGTGGCATCGGTTCATGTCCAACGTAATTTAACTAACTACAGCTTCATGCAGTGGATGAAGGAATGCGGTTAAGGTTAAATATACCTGACCTCTGTACTGTATATGTGTGTATACAGTATGTGTCTATAAAATGTCACTCAGCTGAGAAGGATATTGATCTGTTCTCTCCACGTCTGGGCAGTAGAATGTGAATGATTTGTATTCACAGCAGCAGTTGATATCCAGTCTATTCATTAGGGAGAAATACAGCCAAGCAACACCAGTGAACTGACATGCAATTCAAATCGCTGACACTCCAAATCAACTTTCTCATTATAGTGTCAAAGTTATCACTCAGGCTTCATCAAAAGACACAGCTCTCTCAGTATTGTGGAAAGGCTGAGCTAAAAATGTAATAAAAACTGGTTTCACCTAGCAAGGTCAGACATCCTGTTAGCCTTTTGTTTCTGATACTGATGTTGAGGTAAAGTATTACTGGATTATACAGTGGACTAGGTATATTCTTAAATTTTGGTGCAGCATCAGGGGATTGCACAGTAGATGGAGTGTACCATATAAGTCTTATGAGTATTATAAGTGGTTATAAAGTCAGTTTGATGTATGACACACATACACGTAGTTGGACAATAATTTTTATTGAGCTGCTTTTGAATTATAAATGTATTGCTTTCCCTGAGCACGTGGTGCTAAAATATAGGAGCACTAAAAATCCATTGTTAATATGCTGGTTGGATATATACACGTCTCATAGTGGTGGGTGCATCAGTACTTAAAAAAATGTACATTTTCAAGTCTGAATTTTAAAAATCTCATTGACTTTTAATGACTGGAGAAAGAGACATCCACACAGGCAAGTCATAGAGAGTATTGCAGTGGAGCAGCTCTTCAGTTTTTGATGAGATTTAAATCATATAATGAGATATAAAGGAAATCAATGGTCTAGATCAAAATGGCTTAGAAGTGCTTTACTTCCTGACATTGGAAGACAAATGTGTTTGTTCAGGTTGAAGTGATTTCATTTAGTGATGTATTTTACTTCTCTCTGTGCAGCTGACTGCTTTGCAGGCCAAGGTGCATTACCTGAGGTACCTCAGCGAACTCAGACTCTATGGAGGGAGGGAGTTCAAATCAATACTTTTGGTAAGGCCTTTACTTTGGAAGGATTTGGAAAAGTTTGACAATAAATGTGATGTGGTCAACCTGTCAGAAAGATTGCTGAAACCTCTTAGGAGAAAGGTTTAACATGGATAATGAGATTCTTAATTAGTTTCTAGTGTCTGCTTTTTTTCTAGCAAGGGGGGAAACAGACAGAAGTGACACTGTTAGTGGGTCCACGTTACGGCATCAGTCATGTCATCAACACCCGCACCAACTTAGTGGCCCTATTGGCCGACTTCAGTCATGTCAACCGCATCGAGATCCTGACTGAGGATGAGACCAACGTCCGACTGGAGCTGCATGTTCTGGACGTCAGGGTGAGCAGAGTTCTGTCTCAGAGCAAGTACCTGCAAGCATGAGTTTGCCCTACATAAATGATAGCACCTATTGGCTTTACTTTCTTTTTGTTTTTCTTTTCTCTCCCACCTTCCAACATCCCTTCCTCTCTTCCTTTCCTCCTTATGTCACAGCCCATCACGCTGATCATGGAGTCGAGTGATGCTATGAACCTGGCCTGTCTTACAGCAGGCTACTATCGCCTCCTAGTGGACTCGAGGAGATCTATTTTCAGCATGGCTCACTGCAGTAGTGCTGGAGGGGATGACAGCGGTGAGTTGTTATTAACTATGTCTGTATGCATGTGTTTGTGGTGAAGACAGCATGGATAATGATAATAATAATAAAAAGACAAGTTTCTAGGGCAAGATACTTTATTAATTTATACTAAAAAAGGAATATCACATCATAAGCTATGTGAGAGTAGCTTTTTTTTATTTAAGCTGTTTGCTCCATATAAAACTATTAAAACAAGTTGAGGAACCCTCGTGCTCTGACCCATTTTCAAACAGACAGACTAGATTAAATGAGTTAAAAATTTATGTTTTACAGTGCTGTATCAAACCTCTGAAATGTTGAAGCAGCACACTCAACATCTAGTGAAGAGAATTTCCTTTAAAATTTAATCATCATAAAATATAAAACACAAAGTAATAAAACTATGTATTGCTGCTGCCTGCAGGCCAGGATCACGTCCTAGAGTGGCCATACGGCACATCTTTGGGGGACAATGAGGAGCCATCACCCAGCCAAGGAGACGTCAACAACAGGGACTCTGAGTATTCAGACAATGGACAGAGGGAAAACAGCATCTCTCCTTACTTCCATGAACCTCAAAACCCTGAGAGATATCTTGGGTCAGGGCAAAGTCCGATGCCTCCCCCTCTTCCCCCTGCCACCAGACACGAAACTGAAGATTCTCCTCGGAGCGCCAAAGTGTCATTTATTTTTGGAGGGGACCCGCCCTTAAACAAGCCCAGGAAACTAGGCTATGAAAGGCTAGTGGAGAGCCCGGAGTTACCTGAGCATGGCCCGCCCTACTTGCACAACACAGAGGTTCAGTCACAGAACAGAGTGCCATTTCAGTTTAGTGGTCTGACACACGTCTATAGTAACATTGTCAGTGTAGCAGGTGGTGAGGAGCCACTGCTAAGGGATCTGCTTTATCGTGACACAATGGATGATGCAGAGGATGACGACGATGCTTCCTGCGAAGAAGACTCCACTGGGGGAACACCAGTGGGTGACAACAGAGTAGGTGGAGATGAAAACTGTGGTAACCCAGGTGGTGGGTTAGCCACAGCAGCTGGAAAAGGTACCTTCCTCACGCTTTCTGGTTCTACCGATGACATCATCGACCTGACATCACTTCCTCCTCCTGAGGGAGACGACGGCGTTGACGATGATGAAGACGACTCATTGCTGCAGACACTCAACCTTGCAATTGCAGCTCCACCACCAGGCTTTCGGGACAGTTCAGACGAGGACACAGCTCCAGAGGGAAAGCCATTAACCACATGTGACAGTGAAGATATTCCAGTGTCATTAATTGATGCCATTCAGACACATGGGGAGGGGGAAGGGAGCAGGGGCGGGGGAAGGCTGGAGAATGCAGTCGTAAATACTCTACAGGCACTGGAGGCTCTGTCTGTCTCTGAACGGAGGCCTACTGTGCCACCACCCAAAAGTAACAATCCAGGTCTGTTGAATACTACCGTAGGCCTAAATGTTGGATTACCATCATTCATAAAGCTGCTGAGCTTGGGTTTTCTGACCTTTTAACTCAGTATATCCCACCTCAAAATGTCCTGTGTCTCAGTCCACAATGTTTGAGTATCTCATATCACTTAGACCATAAAGAACTTGTCAGATGTATTTTTTTTGTCTGTCTACCATTTAGCTTTAATTCTTCATGCCAGAACAGAAGCCATTTAAATAATGTGCCTGCTCAGTAATTTCAAATGCGGTCATTACTCTGTGTAATATTTACAATACACATTTAACAGCAGTTATTTTGTGTTTCTTATTTTCTAGGTGTTTACACATCTCAAGGCTTTAGCCCAGAGTCATCCTCAGATTCTGGCAATGAGACCAACTCTTCAGAGATGACTGAAATATGTGAATTGGCCGCTACTCACAGGCACAGCGAGAGCCACGTGCATCTTCTGGTGGCCACAAGGGAAGGATACCAACCTTTACTTGAGGAAAAAACAGAATTCCCCGTCTCACCCAGTACAGGGGGAACGATACCGAAGAAAACCCGTAGTCCAACAAGGCACCTTCAGCCTCCAGCAGTTCCTCCAAGACAGAGCCCCCAGTTGGACAAGGCATCTTCAGGGCCAGATGGCTTGGAGGGGAGGTCCCAGATTAACCCTTCATCCACTCTGCAGCGCCCAAGTTCCACCACACCTGGAGGCAAACATCACAAAAAGTCTGCAGACTCCAGTGGGAAGTATAACACTTTCAGCACAAGGGAAGGGCATCGAAATGAGAGTGGTGGCGCAGCCATATTGACTGGGACCAGCGCACTTCATTCTGTGAGCGAGGGGAAAGTCAACAACGACAGAATTCTTTTTTGCCACAAAACTATGTAGCTGAAGACCTGGGAGTGAACAGCCTCCCCCGTGACCATCACAGAATTCCCTGCCCTCCTTCCTCTGCCTCTAATCGCCTGTTAGATGTTGCCAACTTGGACGACTGTGGTACAGATAATGGCACTGTGGCTGTGGAGCAAGATGAACATCTAGTTGTAGCATCATTACTGGCCCCAACCGAAAAGTCCAGATCAGGAGGATCTGACCAGGGATCAGACATACAAAGTGACCATCATCCACTTTCGAGACAGCAGAGTGTTGCACGGTTGTGTGAGTACCATCTATCGAAAAGGATTTCAAGCTTGCAAGGAGAAGCCCACAGTTCACTACAGGGTTCTCTGTGCTCATCACTGGATGCAGGGGGGAGCATGAACAGTAGTGCCTGTGCCACTCCAACCGACTCACCACTGGGCCCTGGTGCAGTTGAATCAAAACACCACCATTTGCAAAGGCACCCACTCTCTAGGTCCACCTCTTCATTACTCAGGGTGCTAAATTATGAAGATAACAAACCTGGACTCTCTCATGGCATCCCTGGCCAGAATGCTCAGGGAAAAGATCTCCACCCTCATGCAGACCCTGCCCTCCATCAGAAAATGTTGCCCAACATTCACCCTCCTGATGCTGGAGCTGAAACAGGTCGTCCCTCCTCAGCCACACTGTTTAAGCATAAAGAAACTACAGGTAATAGAAGCAAGAGGCCCCACAATGACCTGCATGCTAAACAACAGGCCTGTTTTAAGGGGCTGAACCCAAAGGAAGGCGGTGAGGCCTACAGGCAACTGATTAACTATCTAACAGTCAGCCAGATGCATCAGGGAGGGAAGCTGCACAGTGCAGGAATGGGAGGGGCAGTGAAAAAGGACACCAGGCGTTTTATCACTAGCAACCCTCAGCTTATTGAAATGGTTAAGAATAGGGGGAACACCACTGCTCGTTGCCCATGTATGCCTTCTTCCATATCATCCCCCTTCCTGAGCCCACATTTAGTCAACCCTAATGCGACTAACATGCAGCTGGCAAATAAAAATCTACAGTCATATCATTCAGCCACACTTCCTGCCAAACTCAAGGGAAGTCCTGACATGCATGCTCAGGCACTGAATGATTTTAGGCCAGCTACTGCTGAGAGGAGAAGCTCTTTTTCTGGCTTGGAAAGTGAACTAGAGAGGAGTGGCATGGACCCAGAGCAGTTCCTGTTACTGTATAAGAGAGAGGGCTGTGTCAGCCGTGATGGAGGAGCCGTCACATGTGGAAACCGTGAGGGTGGGGGAACCATTAACCATCTCCCACCTCGATCAAGAAGCCAACCTAGTGGCAGCACTGAGGACTGGTTCAAATCAGACCCAAGGGCAAAGCATGCAGTTCGCCAGTCTTCTCATTCTCATCCTAATGATTCTCTTTTTTTCTCTGCTGCCCCCAGTGTAAGTGGTCAACGGGCAGACCTCAACACCATGTCATTGGGGAGAGGAGATCACTCATCAGCTTTTATCAGACAGGCATTTACTGGCAGAACTTGCATTGCATCTCCAACTTCCATCCCACAGCCTGCCCCTCCTCCCCCACCTCCTCCTCCTGTGCCAGCCAACACTAGCTCCAGCAACTCAGGGTATACACAGGATTCCATCCATTCCATCCAGTCTCAGCAGAATCAGAACCACATTCAGGCTGTTACACCGACCCTGCCACAGACCGATCCTTTCAGTAATAACCTGCAAAGAGGCCGGGAGCTGAAACGCAGCTCCAGCAACATGACTGCTACTTCTGGTAGTGTGGAGGTTCTGTTTGAAAAACCCACCCGAAGCCGAAGCCAGCAGCCCTTGTCCCCATCTGTGACCCTGCAAGGTGAGACCAAAGCACAGCGGCGTCCAACAAGAAAGCATCTCTCCAAGAGCTACTCACAAGGCTCCGTATATCCCCAAACCACATGCTGGTCTATGGGCAGCACGCTAGACAGTAGAAGGGCATCTGTGGTATTTCCATTGCAGAAAGACACTAAACACCTGAAGGGCTCTCAAAAACTGGACACCAGTCCCTGGAGATGCAATGGGCCTTTCAGTTACTGTTTCTTTAAACGCAAGATTGAAGGTGAAGAGGATGAGATTGAGTGGGAGAGGCCCAGAAGAAGCCATGGTGGGAACAAGGTTGATGATGATGGTGCTGCTGCATCAGCCATATTTCCCTGTGGCTTGGCAATGGATGCAGCTGGGGAACAGCTGTATGGGGAAGTCCTCAACAACATGAGCTTCAGTGACCGTCTCGCACGAATCAACACACTCAAGGATCGCATGTATTGCCTCCCTTCTGGCTTTACTGATGTCCGCCGTGATGCCAGTGAGCTCATTGCACTGGTGAGATCCAGCATAGGGCGCTGCGATCGTGGAGTCCAGATGCCAATCCAGGATGTATCACAGTATAAACAGCTCCTATCTGTTGAGTCGAAAGAATTAGGTCGGGCATGTCGGAGGATGGCACAGGCCCACAGTAGTCCTGAAGAGATGTTGCTAGCTGTAACTTGTAGCTTCCAGGTGCTCTGCTGTCTCTGTGAAGCTTGTATGTGTCTGGTTAGGGGGCTCGGGACATCAGCTTCACACCAGCAGAGAGAGGTTGTGGCAAAGGTTGATGAGGTTGTTATGAACTATATCTGTTTGCTCAAAGCGGCTGAGGCTGCCACCGTAGGAGCACCAGGGGAGCACAGTGTGAAAGCCCTTGTCCGCCATTCCAGTACCATGTCGGCCATTGCTAACGCACTCACCCGCTCCCTTAAAACACTGCTTAGCAAGTAGAGGCTACTTCTTATGCTTTATAGTGTGGTCTATGCCAGCGGTCCCCAACCTTTTTTGTACCACGGACCGGTTTCATGCATGAAAATGTTTCCACGGACCGGGTAGAGGCACGGGGGTTCCAATAACAAAAACCTTTGTCAATTCATGTAATCTGAATGCAGCAATTACACTTTATATTAGGCAATTACAATAATTCTACACTATATCAACTCACCATAATGCAGAGTCAGTGGGAGCCCTGGGCTTGTTTCCCTTGTTGGATAAAATTATTAACAAAATCATACTTTAAGGTTGATTGTAACATTTGATGAATTAAGAACTTAATTAGTAGAAGATTAACATTATGCTTGTTGATTAGTCAACCTGTGTGTTTACTTTGTTTGCGTCTGATAATTCTATCATAGTTAAGATTTAGTTTATAGCACACATAAGTTTACCTACTTTAATCTTACAGTTATGTTTATATAGTTACATGTCACCTTATGTGTTCACTGAATTACTGGTCAGTATTTACTGCGTTAGCCAACTGGAGCACTGTTTAACTAACATCAACTAACATTGAACCACCACCTTATTTTGGTGGAGGGGTTTGAGTACCCGAGTGATCCTAGGAGCTATGTTGTCGGGGGCTATATGTCCCTGGTAGGGTCTCCCAAGGCAAACAGGTCCTGGGTGACGAGTCAGACTAATAGCGGTTCAAAAGCCCTTTATGAATAGATTAAAATCAAGGACCGTGACGTTGCCCGGCATGGCGCATGGCACATCAAAGCGTTTACTAAAACACTGAATTTCATTAGGTTTACAGCTTTGACAAGGAGGGTCCACAGATACTTTATTGTCACCACCTGGCTGAGTTCCTTATGTCCAGTCTGCTCCGTAATTTTGTCTTGGTTGCTGTCATTGCCGAAAAGCCCGCTTCACAAAGATAGGATGTTGGAAATGGTAGCAGGGTTTTCATTGCTCTTGTGGCGATTTCGGGATATTCTGGCTTGATTTTCATCCAGAACATCGGCAGAGTTGTTGCCTCAAACGTACGTTTAAGGTCACCGTCATTTGCAATCTCCAGCAGCTGATCCTCTTGTTGCACAGACATGCAGAGCAGCCTTGGTGTGCGAGAGTCACCTGTTGCACTAACCCCGTATTTTAAGTATGACTCCTGATATTGTCTGTTAAAAGAAGCTTTCTTTTTCTTGGAGGTCGTGGGCTCCTCTTCTGGCTCCTCAGTTGGCCTTTTCCCCTTTGAAAAGAAGCCCTTCAAAGACGTTTGTTTTTTACTCATTTTTGCTAGTTTGCGGGCTTAATTTTTTTAGCAACGTATCACATGACGTCGTGACCGACACATGCGTCTTGACGTGTCAAGGGGCACAGGTGGATGATACGTCAGAAAAAAATCCCGTCGTTTTTCATAATAAAACATCTTCCAGACTCTAAAAATCAATGCAATGGAAATTATATAAATTATTTATTCTTTCTGTGCGGCCCGGTAACAAATGCCTCACGGACTGGTACCGGGTCACGGACTGGTGGTTGGGGACCACTGGTCTATGCAGTCAGTAGAAGTCTGTCTTGAAGCATCTTGTTTATTTTTGAGACTGCTAGAAGAATGATATATTTTTCATAATAGGTCTGAATCAATATAGTGTAGGGTTTGTTGCAGTTAGACTTACCATTAAAGTTACATAATACTCAGTATGAAAAGATGAGTAAGATGCTGAAATGCAGGCCTATCTGACTGCACTTGCTTTTTGTGATGACAATGTTGTAAATTACAAAGCCATACTGTCACACACCTTTGTAATATGATATGTACCTCATAGATATCCTTTTACCTGTGCATTATGTAACTTGTAAGTTGTATAGACTGTACATAAATATATAATGAAATCATATTATTTGCTGTAGCAGTTTTAAGAAGCCACTGTATTCAGTTTAACTTGCTCCAATATTGTACAGGGTTGGAGTAAATTTACTTTCAGTTTATAAAGTGCAGTTTTACTACAGATATTTTTAATTGTAATTATAATAACCTACAGTAGCTGTAGAAATATAAGTAAAAATGTGTCACTCTATGTCCAGTGAGGATACTGTTGCTATCATGCTAAATCTAAAGTTATATTTCTGAATGACTGTGTAACTGATTTCAACCATGTTGCATTACAGTTGCCATTGTTTTAAATTAATTTATTTGTTGCAAGATGAAAGAACACTTATTAGAAGTGTTGAAAATACAGGGACAATAAAATTGCACAGCATTAACCACTGCTTCATATTTCAACACATTATTTTCAAAAACAAATAATTAACAGTAACTAATAATCTGTTCCCCCCAAAAGCTAAATATATACAATTATATTAATAATATAATATTAACAATTTAGGAAGCATTTGAATTTGACATATTTCAGATAAACATTTGTTTTCATAATATTCAATCAAATTCTGAACTTGAATTATTTATTATTTCAAGTGTATCAAGATGCAGTTTAGTCTCTTGACAAGAAATGACATTGCTATTTTTGTTTTTTCAGTAACTCACTAACCTATTAAAAGACATTTTACAGATATTTTATGTATCTTTCTGTGTCTCTTTTGGTCTGAATGCTTCATTGTAACATAGAATTAGCATTAGTATCCTTTTCAGAATAAAAACAATCCATTTTAATGTTGGTTTCATAAAGGTATTGCTATAATGCATGTTGTAGCAGCATAAATTGTGATAGTTATCAAACATTCCAGGTTGTTGGGCCATTTCTTACAGTTCTTTTTGATATTTCAATGATATTCACGACAACTGAAGGTTATACTGGAGTTCAAGCTTCTTTATGGCTTTTTAGCATCATCATTATGATATGAAACAAGCTGAATAATAGAATAGGTGTGCCTTCATTTATTCTTCATATTTATATTTAAAAATCCTCTCACAGTGCCAAGTGCCTGACTTGACTTATTTGAGAGCTGCATAAAGAATTTAATAAACTTTTTTTAACACTAGTGATCACTATGGTGAAGGGACACGCGTGCACGTGCATATATTCACGTAATCCTTTACCCAAGCAGCAGAACAGATGTGGGGGAGGAGCGTCACTTCAGCATATTGGGCGCCTTTTTTACGTATGCAGCGACGTTTACCAATCAGGTCGACGCAAGCAAAAAGCCACGCCCGCGCAGCAACATGTGTCGCGCGCCTTTAACTGTGTTGTGGTGGGGCAAACAAAAGTTAGTAGTTTCTGCTCATCTCCTTTTCGGAATATTTGGCGAGTGAGAGGATTGACTATTGTAACGCTGGGTTAAAACCAGACAGCTTTGACCTTGTAGTGGATGGTCGATAATTGTGCTGGTGTCTCTGAATGTGCGCCTCACTTTTATCAGCTGAAGCTGACTACAAATTATTGGTGGGCAACCCGTGGGGTTTAAAGTTCAGCTAACACTAGTGTCACTGGCTGCTAGCAGGTAGTTAGCTCCTTACCTCAACCGATTAGTTTGGTCACAATGGCAGCTGTGTGCCCGCCACGACGTGCCTTGGTGGAAATACCCGCTCCTCAGCCCAAAATCGCAGGTAAGTGTTAAATGTGACAGGTGTCTTTCAGGGCTGCCAAATGTTCTAAATGATTGTCTCAGTGCGGGAGGCGCTACTTTGCTATCATGCTGTTATTATCACGAGGGCGCGCTTCTAGTGACTGTAATTTGGACAGTTGCGTCAACTTTCCACAATTTTGCTGGTACGCATCTTATTTTTCAGACTTCTCGGTGGGTTAGTGTAGTGCGCATTATGCGTTGTAGGAGCTATGAACACTAGCTACTATAAACCTGTACAGAGTTTACATTTTCATTTGTTTGTTTAGCTCGAATGAGGAGGTCTTACCTAGAAATTCTAAGTGCCCGTTTGGCTCCATCTCCACTTCTAAGGGAGAGAAGCACAGCTGCAAACACGAAGCGTGTACAGTCATGTAAGTACAACTAATTTATTATAAATATACCTGCAAATCTAATGAGGGGTCGTTTGTGTGAGCTGATATCACAGGAAATAAAATGGAACAAGAAAACTTGTATGTTAACCGAAAGAGAGTGTGAAGACTAGTTGTGATGTATCCCCCCCTGTCTTCCTTCTTGTTAGTGTTAGAAATTGTGAGAGCCGATATTTAAATAAATAGTGTTCTGAGGAATTGTTATATTCTTACCTGTGCTCTGAAACATTTCAGGTAAATGCCACTATATACCAATGCTGACTAGTCCAATGTACTTGCAGGCTGCTGGGTGATTCTTTCCCTTGTCAGCTGCTGTTTGCTTATCCTGATTGTGCTGCTTTGTGTTGTAGCGGATTTGTCCATTGGTGGTGTGTGGAGTGGGAGAACGGAGGAGCACTGTGATAAGATGGATGAGCACCATACTCCACTCTCCAAACAGCAACTTGTACAGCTAATCAGATCCCTCATCTTAGTTGAACAGGTAATCATACTGCCCAGATAATGAAAAATTTAACAACTGGATGTTTGGTGATCACAGGGATTCAAAAAGCATATTAAATCCACACAAAGTAAATTAAAATGCACTGCTCATCTAGGTGCCTTCAGTGCATACAATATAACCTGACATATGATGTGTTGCATTGTATCCTAGAGCCAAGAGCCTAGGAGCCAGGCCTCAGACCTGAAGTATCTGCAAGAGGACTTGCAGCTAAAAAAGGCAAATGTTTACAGGTCCATCCCCTACTCACGGTTTGGCTCCAACAGGGATGCTCACTGCTACAGAAAGGCGTATCCTCACCTAGTGGCATTCAAAGTAAGTTGGTGGTATATAACAATTTTGTGTACTCTCCATATTCTATCTATTGCTATAGATTGATACATTTTTTCATTATATATTTAATTCTTTCTATAGATGAAAACCTGCACCACAGCTTCCTTCCTCTGTGTGGCTCTGAGCTGAGTGTGGCATGCCTTTCCATTACCTCCTTGTCCTCCCCCACAGGTTTCGTGTCAGGAGTGGGGCCAAGTTCTTCTGAGGAACAAAGAGTGGGATGCTGTGTTGGAACACACACTGATGGCATGGCGATACACCAGTGAGTTGCCGCAGTGGGATACAGCCAACCATAATGCTCTCCGAGAACAGTGTTACAGCATTCTGGCAGCTCACAGCCTCTCTGCTCTCCAGCACTACCACCCTGAACCCAACCGCGGACGTGAGCTGCTCAGAAGGTAAGCCTAGGAAGCATCTGCATGTAGACTTTAGATTATATACACAGTCTGCCAACATGCATGCACAACAATCTTATATGCATGCTAATCTGATTTAATAAAATTCACCCACAATTATCATATGAGCACCCGTTGTTTGGTTGCTTGCCTAAAGGAAACTCATCTGCAGATGTCACTAACTCAACTAATGACTGTTTTGATAGTCAAATAATGTATTGAATACTGAAACCAGTAATTTGACTCTGCTGATTATGAATTTCATAATTCCTCAGTGGCACTTAGCTGTGACCTTTAAATTTAGCTTTTGTGTGTTTTGGTATCATTGTGAATAATTTATTTGCTGTATGTTCATTGTCAATAACAATTTGTTGATCAAAGAAATGCATTTGAAAATGCACAATCTAAGTTCCTAACATGAAGTAACATGGCTTTAACAGAAAATTAGCCAGCTAGTGGGGAAGCTTACTAACTTTCTGACACACTTTTCCAAAAAAGACTTTGTCATTAAAAAAGGAGTCATTATAAAATAGTGAAGACATTTTTCTGAGCTTCACAGACCCCATGAATCGACTGTTTATTATCAGAATTTGTTTCGTTTGGATATCATGTCGTTTGGATATCATGTGGAAAGCCTGGAAGAGCCTTAGGACTATTTAATTTTTATTCCATTCATCTGAGAGTGGCAAGGCCCTCGGCTTGAGTCGGCTGCATCCACAGTGTCAGTCCATCAACAAAGTCACTTTGCTTTTATTTTGTGGCGCTAAGGTGTTTCCACCAGACTGCCCTCATTCTTCTGAACAGCAGTCAGTTCCTTAATTGAAATGGGTCAACTGGTGGAATGATGCTACAGCACTCATCACTTTAGGATTAGTACTTGAAATCAGAGATCTTTGTACACACTGACAGTTAAACCTGTGACATACGGCACATCCTGCCAGTTTGTAACATTCTCTCTGCTGGTGTTTCAGAAACTATCTACAATTTTAATATCCAGCTGAAACAAAGCTACATGGGCATCCTACTGTCTTACTACCTGTTGGGTGTGGGTTCAGGTGTTTCTTTTATCTGTCACTGGCTGTTATGCTTATCAGCCACTTTTATTATTTCAGCAGCTAAAGATTCTAATTACAACCTCAAAATAATAGTTGCATATGTGCTAAAGTAGCAGGTTAACAGTGCAGCTACATGTTTGCACAGAGCTACTGCGGAACTACCTAGCTTGTTGAGCTTCCATGTCTAGATGCCGTCATGATAGTATGTTTGTTTGTAGCTTCCTTCCTAGTGCCTAATGTTTTTGATAAACAATGAATCTGCACCAGAAACCTTCAATGGTGTATTGTTAGCATTAGCAGAATTGAAGGCTATTGGCGAATCCTGTGCAACACATCACTCTTCTTTCTGTTTCTAGGTTGAGGATGGCTAAGCTGCAGAGCCTGTCAATTGTGCCCTGTATTCAGGAGCTGCACAGGATTATGGGACATGCCAATGAGTTGTTCATGAACACAAAATAATACAAGGAACGAGATGTAACCGGTTGGCTACATCCCAGTGAAAAGTGGGTTTTAGCCATGCAATGATTTGCATGGTAAGGGGCCAGAAATGCTTGTAGTGTTTTTTGGAAAACCGCTCCAGTGTTCTTCTGAAGGGCATAGTAAAACCTGGGAATGCAGTAAGTGCCAGATAAAGCAGGTTTCAGTAGGAGACAAAAGCAACCTTCTAAATGGTTGAAAATGCAATAAAACTTTATTTAATCACACCACTTTTTTTTTTTTTTTTTCCATCAACTGGAAAGTATTACAAGTAGCGTATCATCTGTTGCATGGCACACCCCCGTGTGGTTAGCTAATGTAACTTTAGGTTAATACTTTATCTAACAGCCTTATTACAAAAAACAAGTTTTCTTTTTAGAGGAGTATTAACATTATGAGATGTTGCATTAGTTGGTTCTAGCATCAATGTATTGTGTCTTTTTAGAGCTCTGTATAGGTAAACTTGGTCTTGTTACTTTATATGGATGTTGAAATATGTTTACGATACTTGAAACTGTGGCCTTATCCATGTTTGGCTGTACTTGTTTTATATGTATAGCTTGTTTCTCACTGATTGCACTGTTGTGGTTTGTCCTGAAAACTTGAAAATTTTTGATAAAACAAACCCCTAATTTAAATAAAGTTCCTTTGTACTGCAAAGTTGTTCACCTGTTGTCTGTATATTTACTGTAGACATCACCTCTGTATCTTAACCTTTTTTATGTAGTTTTAATTGTAGATTTACTCTAACTGTGGGCAGCATGGTGATGCAGTGGTTAGCACTGTCGCCTCACAGCTAGAAGGTTCTGTGTTCGAGCCCTGGCCAACCAGGTGCGTTTCTGTGCAGTGTGCACATGTGGCTGTGTGGGTTCTCTGTCTTCCTCCCACAGTCCAAAGACATGCAGCTTAGGCTGAATGGTGATTCTAAATTGCCCATAGCTGCAAAAATCAAATCTATTAATAGTGCTTCAGCAATGTCATTGTCAGAACCAAAACATTTTGTGAATGAGTGGGGGAAAACTGGCTATGCTGACTCTTTTGTTTAATGCATTAGACCTAGAACACAGCTGCTTACTTGTGCTTGTCATTTGTTTCCCCAGAGAAATATAACCCTCTAAGTAATCCATGCTGGGAGAATAGTTTTGTAGTTGATTTGTAGACCATAGTCTGTAAAGTACATTGAATAGAGACTGCTGCTTCTTAAGGATAGGCCATTTCAGTAGATAATAGGATTAATCACTCAAGTGATTGATCTGTCTGTCCTGGCAGCATGTGAGCTCTGGTTTGGAAGTTAGTGTTTTACAGCACTAGGTGGAGCTCACATTGCACTGTTTTCCAACATCTAGAGTCACATTCTCTGGAGTCAGGTTTGTGACTTAAGTGGAAGGTCAGTGTTAATACCACAGGAGAAACGGCTGCTGCCATGGCACTCTTTTGAGTCTATATGGAAATATTCTCAAGTGCTATTAAGAGTTCAAGATAATTAATGGGAGGATGGTTGGCGGCCGAGCAGATGTCCTGCTGTGGAATTGTGAAGTAAAATTGCTGTAATACCACTTTATTATATAGGGACTTTTGCAGTGAGATCATTTACCTCCTACAACATCTGTACTTTTAATGTTTGGCTGTGTACAATTATTTGTCCCCATGTTATTGCACAGAGAAATATTTTAATATTACAGCCCATGGCAACTTGTACATTTGGCCGACCCACTCGCACCTCAACATGTCTCAGTTTGTAATCTGGAGATTAAATTGGTGGGCTCATGGTGGTTCCTCCTCCTACAACTGAGCATGCGTATGATAGGCCGGCTTATATCAACTTCTTCAGGAGTCTTTCTTGCACTTTTTGTTGACTCTCATTGCAGAAAATAATACACTGGGGATGTTTGTCCAAGTCATCACAATGCATTAGTGTTCATGGCTTGCTCTCACAGGCAAACTAGCAACATCAGAGAAATTTCATTCTCAGTAATATCACAATTATATCTGCAAATTGTTCTTTCTGTGAATGTAATAGAACTACAGGCTGTTTCAAGGGCTCATGGTTCTTACTTAATATTACTCCTCCAAGCAAGTATTTGCCAAAGTGGGCTCCCTGGGATTTCTTGAGCCAGTTTAGAGGCTACTAAGAAACCTGTAGAAGTTAAAATGCCTTTATTATGACATGGCTGCACAGATAACTATCGGTGCATTACAGATCCCCTGTACCCTGAATGTTTTTTGAGGTTTCCATCACTTTTGGTGCCAAGATCAGAGAGCTGCCAGCAACAAAGGCAGTCCTCCCTGTTTGTTTGCTTCTCCACTTTGCTCAGTCAGAGCAGTAAAATGTATTTTACCTTTACACCATAAACACTACACTGATCTATTCAGCTTATCCTAAATCAGCCATAGTTATGTTCTCAGTGTATTCTGTCCCTAGAGGTTAGCCAAGGGGGGAATGTAAGAACGTTTCACTATTTCTTTTCTTCATTATCTCCCAAATGGCACAATAGATAAGTGATACAGTTTTGGATGAAGTCATGTGTAACAAAAGAAATCTTCATCCTACTGGAACACATTCTGGATAGAAGCTGGTCTTTAGAATTTTTTTTTTGTTGAATATTTGAATGAAATGTTTGTAAGTTACCCAGAGATGGTACTGAACAGCTGTTTAAGTGTAATTTATTGTTAATCAAACATAAGATATGTGTTTCTCCCCATGGGAAAGGAAATATCCACCCTAAAACAGTTTTGATATCATTACTTATTAGCACTCTCCCACATTTACAGTGATCAGCCATAACCTTATGACCACTGACTACCTCGTCACAGTGGCACCTGTCAGTGTGTGGGGTATGTTAGGGACAAGTGAACGTTAGGTTCTCGAAGTTCATGTATTGGAAGCAGGAAAAACTTGCAAACTTCAGGATGTGAGTGACTTTGACAAGGGACAAACTGTGAAGTTGACAGGTGGGTCAGAGCATCTCCCAGACTGCAGGTCTTGTTGGGTGTTCCCAGTCTGCAGTGGTTAGTACCTACCAACAGTGTCTAAGGAAGGACGAACGGTGAACCAGTGACAGGGTCATTGTGGACAAGGGTGATGTACTGTAGATTAAATTACCATTGTACTTTTCAAAAGATTAAGTTTGTTTGAACTTTTGTTCAGATGGTTGAAAATGAGAAATACGTTGGTACATTGACCTCTATGAAGAGAAACCTCCAGAGGTTAGAGCGGTGATAGCACACACAGTGGGGATGCTGTTGACTTTGTTTAAAAAGAATTCTCTAACCTGTCCTCATGACCACAGTTTTCACTCCATTTACATACTGGATGTTTTTCATTGATTTGTAGATAAAGTTGTGCTCTTCCTGAGTGTAGAACGATGGAAGCAAACAAATTCATTTAAGATGCACAGTGAGCCACAGAGTGACAAGTGCCAACCAACTACTGCATTGACTCTTGTGTTCACAGTTTTAGGCAGGTGGTCATAATGTTATGGCTGATTGCTGTATGTTTTTGATTGGATATTTGGTTAAAAGGGATGCAAGTTATTGTCACATAGAGATATAGAGGGAGTTACCTATGTACAGTAGTATATAGGCCCAAGATGTTACAGGCTTTTGAGATGGGAGAAACTGCTGCTCCATTATTTCTGTTGGTATTGTTTTGTTCATCTGCCTCTACTGTACTACCTATAAAGGTGTAGCCTTGTGAAGATGTAAGGCAACTGGGCAGAACATGTACCTTGTCCCTTGATAGCCACACTGATAACTAAACAAATGGTGTGTAGCCCTTTTCACTTCAACACTCAGAAACTTTGAAGTTTATCACCAGCAAGCCAGACAAAGTAAGGCAAGTTCAGTGATAACAGGAGGAGTTGTGCCATATCACCTGGATGATGGACATTTGGTAAAGTAAAGTTGTGATGTTATGATGAACAATAAATCCAAGCTGCTAACAGCAAAATGGGGATTTTCTGCTCACCTTCCATTGCAGTGGCTTGTTCAGTGGTAGTTACTCTTTGAAGAACAAGTCAGTTGTTTCAGCAAACGTTCCAAAACAACATATACTCAGTTGGCAGTTTATTAGGTACTCCTACTAAAACTAATGCGGTCTAATACAATAGTCCTGCAATAAATCCTCCGTAATGTAGGTGATAGTGTTTTTGTTCAAACCGGTTCAGAGGTGTTGATTGAAATGGATGATCATTTTGGAGACTGTGGTTTGTGCTGCTGTTGAACAGATGAGTGTTCCTGTTATTTAGCCTGTCCTCAGTGACATATGTCGTGTCCAAATTCAGGTGAGCTTGTTGGATTTGGAGGAGATGTAAGAATGCATGGCTTCATTCCAAAAGAGGTCCCACAATGCCCTGGACATCACAGATGGATTGTTTTCCTGACTAATTCCCTCCCGATCCTCAACGCACAAGGCTACGCTGCTTTTCATTCATCTTCAGCCATCTAACAAGGGGCTGATTTACACCTGGGATGCCAGGTGAGTCTAATTAATGCTAATTAACTAGCTGTGAAGATAGAAAACCAGCAGTATGCGTCCCAACGAGTTACACAAAGGACTCGGAGAGAGTGAACACAGTGACTGAGTATTTGTACATGACTTGAATAGTTCAGTTCCTCTCATAGACAGCTGTACTGAAAGTAAAACATCTGTCACTGCCGCTTTGGAATACAGCTGAAAGAATGTGAAAGAAAGCAATTTGATGCCATTAAGCTGGAATTAGAGTGATAAATCCAGAAGACCTGAGCAGGTACCTAAGGGCATTGATAAGATCATTATGGGCAAAGCATGCTGCCACAATACTGGAGATGTTCTATACAGTCTTAGAGTCTTAAAATTGAACGTGGTCTTCAACAGTATGCTCCTTCTAAAGTGTAACCGGTACTCTGGGGTAAATTAACAGAGCTCTGGACTAGTTATGGCTATGACTTTATTCCCCACATGATTGCATATATATAATACACATATTTCAAGTGTTATATTATGTGTTCATAGTGTTTCTGCCTCTAATTTCTAACAGTTGCTCACTTGTAACTAAATCATTTTCAAATTCTTTCCCATCTGCGACCAGGGAAGTGTTTAGTTTGATTTGGTGAATATTCATTGCTGTCTGTATGGGTTTAAGGCAACACAGCTGTGGACTTCACAAAGGATGGTTTTTGAAGTACAACAGAAATGATAGGTTAAAACACTTTGCTTAAAACAGTCTGAATAATGATCCTTCATGCCTTTATTTGCATTTATTTTGCATCCTAGCTCTAGATTAGTTGATCAACCATCTTCATCTCAGGCTTTTTAGAGCACCGGTAATAAAATTAATGATGGCTTCATTCCACTTAAGTGTCCCCATAAGCCGTGCCACTGAGCCAGGATGCACAATAGACCTTTTTCCCAGCAGACATTTCGACGTGTCATAGCAGGAGTTAATAACATTAATCATGGATTTCATTTAATCGTGCAAGTTCCAAGGTCTGGTATGGGTCATCCTAGCTCACTGATTTTTCTTACTGGGGCGCTGAAACAGAGCTGAACCATTGTTAATGTTATTATAACTGAAGGTGTTCTTTTCCTTCTTTGACAACCCTAAGAGGTCTGCTGAGAAAAAGGTGTATTTTGTATCAACCATCACAGAGAGTTTATGGATTTGCAGGTTGCTGTGTAC